AAATCCCTTGCCACTTAGGCATGGGATGGTCATATTTCGTCACACCGAGGCAGTCCCCAAATGGCAATTAATGGCAATTAACAGCAGTTAAGTTGCTGTGATAGTAAGGGCTTAATTGCTTCTATTGTGGAGTTCAGGGGCTTATATGTATCAATTAAAGTCTGAGGGCTTAATAGCGATTCTGGGGTTAGTTCAGGGGCTTAACTTATGATTTTGCCTTATTTAAAGTATTTGACAGTGTAGATTTCAGCCTGGTAAGCCTTCACGCTTTGGCCTTGGGTGCATAATTCAGCCGCAAGAAGGGTCCTCTTAGGACAAAGGGGGTCTCATTTCCACAAACCCATGTTATGCAAAGTATATTCAGACGAGTTGGATCGTGTCAGAATGAAGATTGTAAGAATCTGGCAATGTCTCCATCCCATGTCTTTCTTGTTTGTTATCATTTGGCCGGCAAATAGTAGGGTCGTATATAAACTATATAATAAATCTCATAGAATGAAGGGCACCTTTCTAAATATTTGAGATGTCTTTTTGTGAGATTCAGCAATAAAGTTGTGCAATGCTTTTATGTTTAGCTTTTGTAAATAGCTGTTAACTTTTGGCTTGACGGGGTTGACTGTTTGAGTCATATCACTGTCTAATGGACACTCTCAAACTAGCATTTGGAAATCATGTACCGAGCAGTAAACTTCTCACTGTCTCAGACTCTCAGCAGTAGATCTGTGTGATCAACATTCACCAAATTGCATTCTATACTGTGTGGATGTTCATTTTACAAAAGCTTATGGCATCTACAGGGCAAGGTGAGACCCTGCATCTGTCCAAAGCACTTTCTATAGTCGAAATTTAGCCGTTTCAGCATCTATACAAGTCATTTTTAACACTTTCTAACATTCGCAAAGTTTTGACCTTCCTCGGGAACAGGGTTTGGTGCCAACATTAACTCAAAGGTCAGGGCAGGTAGCTGTGAAGAATGTTAACCACAAACTTGTGAAGTCAGAGAGCAATTCGAAAGCTACATTTTGTCCAAATGAATTCTCTCTAGTGGAGAACAAGGGAAATGTGAAAGACCGCCGACAGAGTCACTTCCATAACTGGCTAACTCTTCCAACCCATTACACGGAAATTACTCTGTTTTAGCACAACATACTTCCCAAGTCTGCAATTAATGAAAACTATCAGAATGCCAATAAGTATAACAAAAGGTCCTCAAGAAATTATTCATGATGTGAAAGAAAAAGCCTTATACCCAAGATCTGATGGAAGTCTGTAACCACCTACTCATACACGCTTCAGGGAATGAATCTAAAACAAGAAACAATAGCCTTAGCATTAACCAAAATTAATATTTGTGAATTAGTCATCCTCCAAAAGCAGAGGTATAAAATACAATTTAGTTTTATGAGGAAGCTATATGGCTTACTGATATTGTTCATTTAGTGCATCCCTTTAATAAGAGCAAATGATGATGAGGTTATATTTGTGAAGCAAACATGCTCTCATCAGAACATCAAAAACTGACCTCCAGTCCAGCGTTTTTCACAAGCTCACGAACTTGATGATTCCTTCCTTCCTGAACCAGCAAAAAAATAATTTTAGCAATAGAAATTAGGAAAGAAGGGTAAGCTCCTAACATGCAACTCAAGTAGCCAGGTGAGGTTACAGAGAAAAAGATATTAATGAGACAATATCAAATCAATGGTTAGCTGGCCTTCTCCATTGTTTGGAGAATGAACTATAGACACTAATCATGGGAAATAAACAGTAACCGGACAATTAATGATTAAGATTGGAAACAGACTAGTTTTGAAAGTTAGTTGAATGCATACATATGAATGTATGTAAGTAGTCTATCACAAAACTTTGTCAATGCCACAATCCAAAGATAGGGTCTTGTTATATCTGGCAGCTGTGGCACTAGTTCCACAGAATCTGAGGTGCAGTGCATGCCTTCTATTACTGTCCCCTTACCGATGGTAATTGAGTGTTGTGTCTTTACTACACCATCAATTACTGCAATGTATCTGCAATAACATAATGGCAATGAAACCAGATATAAGTTATAAGAATCCCAGCATTAAAAAAAAAAATTTTTTTAATTAAAAACACACACACACACAATCATGAAATGGAGAAGAAAATATGGAATACGGTAATTAAAAATCAATAGGGAGAAATGAATGCACGAAAAAATGAATTTTGTAATCAGCATGTCTTGACTCCAGGGCAGTAGGTAGTTGAATACCTGCCCACTCCTACTCACAATGAAACGCTATCATCTTCAAAGATTTGCCATGCAATAGAATTCAAATGATAAACAAATACCTAAACCATTTCCCACAAGATTACACTTGATCACAATATAAAAACCAATCTAATGGCTGTTCAGCATGATAATCCCTATTGTTACTAATACAAACAAAATCCAAGAAAGCTTGCTCCTTTAACATGGATGAAGGATGCATAAGCCTTTGTGCAAAATCTACTAAAACAGGAAATAATCACTGATTTAAGACTAACACTTGCTTTCAAATAAATATAAGAGAACAATATTACGTCATGATTAATACATACCATCATTTGCCACAGTAAGCAAGCCAGTTAAGTCTACCAACAGAGAATAACCATGGCATGGGAATGCCGCGATTTTTTTTGTCCTAGAAAAGAAAAAAATACTCCCTAAAAAATTTGCAAAATTGAGGAAACATATAAAATGTATGGTATAAATTAACAAAATGAAAACCATAGTCACATGGAAAAGCCTTTAGCTTTAAGTGCACATACTTATAGCAACAAGTCAACAACTAAATTGACACTAGCAAACCTTATATTTAAGACTGGAAACTACACATAACCATCCCTCCAAAGAATCCTCAAACAGATCAATGATGGATTCAAACTCTTTCTCCCCAAATGGGCAAATAAATCTAAAATCTGGCATTGGCATAACATGTTCAAGATAGAAATGAAATTCTAAAATTCGATAAAGCATGTAACTCCAGCAGATAAAGTGCAGAAGTGGGGAAAAACCCTATTGGCTTGTTAAGGCAAGATACACTTTTGGTGGGAGTTTCTTAGGAAGGCGGCTTCCATGACATAAATAATATCCTTAGCAGGGTCAACTTGAGTCTGGATCATATTTAGTAAACATATAACTCCTGGTGCTAACAAAATTGATCAGAAAAATCTCAATGATCAGACACTTATGCATGCATTCACATATCTTACAAGAATAGAGATATGGCCTCTTTAAATAAGAATATAGAGAGATTGACTTCCCACAATTTGACAAAATGATCCCATCATTTGCAATTTTATGTGGCAAGCTGTTATGGTCTAAAGTGTTTTTTTTTTTTAAAAAAAAAAAAAAACACTTTCCAAGAAGCAGAGAAATAAACTGACCTGAGGGGCATTGCATACAGAACCATTAACAGTCACTTTTCCACTAAAAACAAGCTCTTCACTCCCTCGCCTTGATGCCACTAGCAACATACATAACACAGTCATACAATTATGCTGAAGATATCCATTGAAATTAAAGCTCAATTTGGATTTATAATATTTCAAATTCCAATTAATAGCTTAAAAAAATATGGTAAAATTTAAGATAGGTATCAAAAGCCGCATAATATAATTCTGTGAAGGAGAGCAAAGAAATTGAAGGGGAGCTTCAACATGAAGGCTTGTTAAAATATATTGTCCACTTTCAGAACTGTAATGCCGTGATACAATTCAACTTGAAAAAGATTGCATTTTTACAAGCATTTCCAGCAGAGCCCCTCAGTAGGAATTCAAGCAAAGAACAGTTCACCAATAAAAGACTAAAAAGGATCATATAATGCGAAATGAATCCATTACCTCCGGCAGCAGCAAGGACCTTGCTCAAACGCTGAGGTTGGTCTCTGAAGCTCTCGTTGTAAAACCTTCTAGCAGCCTTTGAAAGCTTGGGCTCCGCAGCAACGCCTCCAACTGCACTCACCTTCTTCTTCTTCTTCTTCATCTCGTTCTCCTTCTTCTTCTTGGAGTTCTAGATATTGGCATCCGTGAGGGGGTGGATGAGACGAGCAGGGGGATGAGCCCGGTGCTTGAGGTTACCGTCCTCTCCACGCACAATCCAGAGGATGATAAGCTGCCCATTGAGACAAGGAGATTCACCATTTTCTTCCGGGGAATGGAGGGGTTTGAGGTTTGGCGGAGGTTTTGGTTTGGATTTGAGAATAGGGGTGAGCATGGCTATCGGTACATCCGTCACTTAAAGAGTATTTTATATTTTACCTAAATGGTATAAAAATTAGGTTAAAACCCCTTTTTGGTCCCTAAACTATTGTACAGACCCCCGATTTGGTCCCTAAACTAAAAAAATCCCTGATTTGGTCCCTACTGTTTACCATTTTTACCCGATTTGGTCATTTCGTTAAAATCTCACCGTTATCTCACAACAATTTAATGACATGTCAAATATTTGAGACACGTCAGTTATATAAATGACTAAATAATGACATGGCAACGTGACATGTCATGTCTTTGCCCAACCCAACAATAGTGGAGCCCACCAAAATTATGACTTTGCCATCATCTTCTTCCTTGAGCAAACAAACCAAGCACCAAACAAACCCAGCACCTGGGTTGAATCGAACCCAAACAACGCCCCTTTTTTTTCCTTCCTCTTCCTTGCCTTGCTTTCTTCATCATCATCAAACACCAAACCCACATAAAAAATATATATGCTCATCATCATCATCTCAAACCCAGGCGTGCTGGGTTCCGTTGAACCCATGCCTGGGTTCGACAGAACCCAGCTGGTTCGAAGAACCCAGCCCATCATCTTCTTCCTTGAGGAAACAAACCCAGCACCTGCGTTGAATCGAACCCAAACAACGCCCTTTTTTTTTCCTTCCTCTTCCTTGCCTTACTTTCTTCATCATCATCAAACACCAAACCCACAGAAAAAATATATATGTTCATCATCATCATCTCGAACCCAGGCGTGCTGGGTTCTTCGAACCC